CCCCCCGCCCTTAGACAAGTAAAAGCTCCAAATATCTTTGATTTATCAAGAGAAAACAGGCCTACTTTTACAGAGTAATAATGAACATTTCAACTTGTTTTTAGAATGTTTCATACATTTAAAAACAACTGACACTGGCCAAATTATACTGTAAATAATAATAAAACATTAAAATGATGCAAAACAATTTAACTGTCATTCTGAGCCAACGAGCACAGGTGTGTTTTAAGATGAACTTGATGCCTGTTTATTATGTTGGGACAGTTCTATCATGTTCAGTAAACATAATAGAAACCAACCAAGATTTATCTTCAAAGAGTTTCTTTCTATTATTTTGAGAAAGCCTTAAATTTGTTGTGCTGTTGTAACAAGGGTAAAAAAAAAGATTTGTTCTTTATATACCAAAAGTTCAAACTTAATACAGAAACTGGCCCATTTCTGTGTGCAAGAAAGATGAAGATAAAAAGTTCAATCACCCATTTTTTTTATCTGCTTTTCTTTTCTGGGTCACTGGGGAAATGGTGCTACTGTGGTCCTGTAATAGACTTGTGACCTGTCCGATAGAGACAAATGACCCAACCAGTCACGCTCAATCACACCTAAGGAAAATTTAGAGTTACCAAGTAGCCTAACAGGCATGTTTTTGATCTGTGGGAGAAAACCCACCCACGCACAGGGAGAACATTTATACACCACTCAGGAGGTTCCCCAGGATGGGAGGTGATGCTGTGAGGTTCTCTCTGAGAGGCGACAGCTCTAATTACTGCACACCACACAGCCACATTTCACAATATAATCATGTACATGACAAGGAAGAGGAACCAAGAACCCAAATACAAATTTGTGAGATAACTTTGTGATAAATGTTTTGACTTATTTCTTTGTTTTGATAGAACAGAGAAGACTCTGTAAAAATCAAGCATGTATAAATGAGGAACTCATGGTAAGGAACAGGTGTGCTGATTACAAACTCTGGGCAGGTGTGTTCTTCCAAGAAAGGAAGGAACATGAACACAGGAAGTTCAGTCCTTCCTGTTTCTGGCTCAAAAATCAACCAAGGGAACTTATTGGGATTACAGCTGTGGCTACACTCAGAGTCACACCTGGACTTTCAGAGTTCTGCGAGTCTGAATTCAATGATAATTAATAATATGTACATATTGTTCGTTCTGATTTTTAGTGGTGTTGATTCAGTGCTGGGGGATGGGACAGGATGAACAGATGGAATAGACACACAGTCAACCTCCCCCTCCCTGTCCTCCCTCCACTCACGGCCTAATCTGACTGGGACGGGGGGGAGGGATGAGGGAGGGCACCGGGCTTTCACCACCATCTCTCCTTCTTTCCTGGCAGCAGCCAACACAGTTGGAGAGTGAAGGCATGCAGGACACGAGCAACAAAACAACTCTTTCCCTTGTGATGCTGCTGAACCGGGGCCCATGCTGAGGGCCTCGGCTACAAGGAGCCCAGTGGGACTAGATTCACTGCTAATCCATCAGAAGCAGCGTGGAAGGACGACCTGCTGGACTCTGTGGACTCCCTTCCCTAACAGGCCTTTCTGAGGTTCTGTTCTGGCCTCGTCGAGGATGTGAGGATCTTTGTGGGCTCTCTGAGGAAAAGCTGTTTGTGCTCCGAGTTCATGGCCAAATGTAGAGTTGTGGTGGGCGAGGACAAGCTGTTCAGAGGCACAATGTCTGTCTCACAGGGGATGAGCCGCACCAGCRTCTACAGCTACTTCCTTAACATGGTGGCCTATCAGGTGAGAGCTGATGAGCAGCCCAGGAGGGCCAAAGGTTTCTGCAGATTGCAGGGGGGGAAAATGGTGGTAAAAATGTCTAAAACTGAAAACTGAATAGTGAAAGTGCAGATAGAGGGCATTAAGTATTCATGAAGCTCCTGGAATGTTATTGGTCATTTCCTACATATTGTCAGTAAATAGAGACAAGTATTCAAATGATGTGGAAAAGTAGCATCATAAAAAAATAACATTATAAAAGAGGATGAGGGAAAGCAAACTTCCTTTCGTGCTGCTGGATTGGATTATTATTACTGATGGATTATTGTTAGGAGCATTACAGTGTTGGAGCTAATCTCCACATATATCCTTCACATGTATATATTATCTGATAAYTGTTGTGTTACTGCAGTAAAACAAAAAGTACTGAATGTCCCTTTAAGATGACATGAAGCTGAAACAGTAAAGTATTGAATGTACTGTAGTAAAGTGTACTACAGGACTACAGAAATCTAACAGTACATGAGAAACATGAAAAACACCAGAAACTTTTATGCAAAATATTTCAAAACAAATTCTCCTTTTTTATGCTTTAATAAAAAGAATCAGTCTAAGACTTGTTGAGGTTTTTTCGGACTTGGTTGTTGACAGAGTTTTTCATTTGAAGTTATTTGAGTTTCATGATATTTTGATTAATATGTTTGTTTAAAAACTTTAATTTTTATCCGGTTTTGGTCTTTAGAAAGTTTGCAGAAGATCATTAATTTCTAGGTTTTTACACTTTAGGTAAAAAAAATTAGGTTAAAATAGAAAACCAAAGTGGTATTTACATATTACTGCCTCACTGAATTAGACTTGTATACATTTTCACTTTAGTTTAAACAGAGGTGTATAGTAACTAATTACATTTACTACCTCACAGTACTATAGTAATTTTTTTCAGGTTTTGTAATTTTACCAATTATTTTTATTGTAACTTTTACTTTTATTTTGTTACATTTAAATCCTAAAAATGATAGTTTTACTTTGTTAATTAAAAATTTAACCCCTAGTTACACATTAAAAATTTAAATCTGTCTGAACGCATCATGAAAATAGTTGTTTATGGGCTCTAAAAAAAGAAAGTGTTGAATTTACTGAACCAAGTTCTGTCAACTGGTTCCACTACACCAAGTTGAGTAAATGTAAAACCATACATGTTTCTTTAAAACAAAATGTGTAAATTGCTCAGTTTACTCAACTTGGTTAAGTGGAACCAGTTTGGTAAGATAAATTTAACACTTYATTTCTTAGTGTGTGTAAAAATACTTTTTATTTTCCAATTTTTGTGAGCAGTTTTATGACGTTTACAAAAATATTTTGCTTACCAGTTAAGGTATTTTTTTTTACCAAAGTAATTTTCTGTTAAGGTGATTTTATTTTTGCTTAGTTGTTGTTTTAAGTACTTTACAGACCTCTGGGTAAAAAAAATATGTTCACATTGTGGTTAAATTTACTGAAATGTTTTTCTACTGGATTTTACAATTCTTTAATTTTCACCTGCCATCAAAAAAATGAAAATGAACAAAAAAAGGGCAGAAATTTTGGAATCACTCTTGGGGGATGTTCTTTCAATTGTTCAATGTTGTGTAAAAAGACAGACATGCCACAAACCTAGAATTTTTCAAAATTCCAACGTTATGACGTTCAAGTGCCTGTGACATCAATTTTTTTATTAGATATGAATGCATTTTTGGAAAAATAACATTAATAAGGTGTTGCAAAACAAATTTCACACTGCTGAGATGAACCGTTCTTGAGATATTCACATGTGAAGTAACAGGAAATGATGTCAAAGGGGAATGTCTGCATATGAGCAGAGTGTGGCTACAGTAACTAACAACACAAACTGTAGAGAAGAATCAGATGTTTCTTTAGTTTATTCAAAGTCACTATCATAGAGAAATAAAGATGTGTCGGAGTTCAAGTAATATTGTTTCAATAAACAAAGATCTGGGTGTTCCTTTTCTTGAAAAGTTCCCCTATGATGTCACTTCTTGTTTTACTTTTATTGAGCCAAGTTCAAAAGAAAATCTGTCAGTTATGTGACGGAATGTGTCAAATCTGTGTATTATGCCAAGTTTCTAAAACAGAAAGATGTTTTCTTTGACTTTTTGTATGTGAAACATTTGCATGTCACAGGCACTTTAAGAAACARTTTAAAAAGAAAGATACAAAGGAGAGGATTATTACGGAAGCCGAGAGCAGACGTTTTCCGCTGAAGGTTCCATGGTTACTGAATGATACACGAGGAAAACCACAACTCGTTATCTCCAGAAAATCATCAGGAAAGTTCCTCCTTTTCCTTGAGAAAATGCTCATTGTTATTTCATGATAACAACATAATATAACATTATCATGAGAAAACCATGGGAAAAAAATTGCAGCGGAAAACGTCTGCTCTCAGCTTCCATAGATTATAAAACTTCTTTATGAAGATAAATCCCCAGTCAGCTGTATCTACATCTGAACCAAATCCAAACACAATAAAAAAGTTGTAAAAGAGAAGTGCACAGGTAGCTCAAAGAAGACATGAAAGTGTCAGGATTAAAAAATGTTTAAGTTATATGTCTTGAAAACAGAACAACAATTATAAAACAAACAAGAAACAATTTGGCAAAAACTAGAGTCAATGGCTGTGTCCAAAACGGGGCCGGGTCCTCCGAAGACCAAATTTGTCGGCCGCATACGTCACAGCGCCGGGACGAAGGCCGTCCAAAACCGAAGACTCCTCCGATGCGGCCGACAAATACGTCCTTCCTTTGGCCCGAATCAAAGGACTGGTCTGATGGATCCTTCCCAGCCCAACGTATCCCATAATGCATTGTGGGCCGACCAGAGATTTTTTTATGCTAGTAATGCGGACGAAGAAAAGAATACATTTTAAATAAAAATATGGCAATATAAAAATTAACATTTTCTAGCGGTTGTAATTTGAATAATTTTATCATTTGTATAGACGTGTTTTTAAATAGTATTTTTGTCATAAAAAACATAAAATAAACATGCACCTACAGCAGGTCAATTAGTTATTCAAATATTACCTTTAAGTTAGTTTTATTATTTTGTGATATTAATAACACTAATATATTGATATTTTTCTAATTTTGATCTAAGTTTGCTTCTGTTTAATGTCGTCATGGTTGACAGGAGGCTAGACCGTCCAAATTCACAGCCTCTTTTTTTCCCGGTCKRCCCGGTCTGCCAAGGACCCGGCCCACCTCGACCATGTATCATTAGTCTTCAGCTGCCCTGCAGCCGTGTGTCTGCTGATGCTAGTCTCTTTCTCAACTCATGTCTTACGTGTAACCAAGCCCAAACCCCCTGGACCCTGGTCCCACCCTGGTCACACTCTAGGGGCGGTTCTTTTTACATCAGAATGTCATCGATTCTTGTTTACACTGCAGAAGAATGCACTGAGCAGAAACATACCACTTCTCTCCCGTTCAAAGAAAATACTTATAATTGATTAAAAAGTGTAAAAAATAAGACTGGATCTAAAATTCAGTTCAGTAGTCACAAAACCTCCTTAAAGTTTACACCAAATTATAGAAAAACTAAAACACAGAACCATGCAGAAACATTTATTTCTTCCCCAATTCTTCTTGTTATCTAACCAAATCACCATATTTAGTTCAGGCCCAACACACTTAATTTGTGCATTATTACATTTATCTACGTATTTACCTATTATCCTTCAGAGAAAGGGTATTTGTTAGTATCTGTGATTTTCACATGAAAAAATTTTGTGTGTTAGAGGGCCCACTCAATGCTTGTCAAATTTGTTTGACTAACTCGGGATTGACTCTAACAGGATGATTTTTTTATCTAATCTATTATTGTTCTGAAGCTGTGATGAATTTGTGTTTAGTTAGTTTGCCAAAGCCATTTGCCCAGGCCTAAATCACAATTTAAATGTGAACTACTTTTCCTGCATGTAGATCCAGCATGTTGGCAATTAACTTTCTATCTTTGAGAAGAATCTAAAATTAGTTTTTGCACTGTCGGAAATTAAATAATCGGCAGAGTTATGAAGATATAAGCCAAATAAATTTGTGACAAAGTTTAGAGGTTTAAGGTCCAAACGCAAAGACCTTGATTATATAGTCCCCTATAGATCTGAATACTTTTCCCCTCTACACAAACTGAAGTTACTTAAATATCTGCTYATTAKTSTCTGCAGTTTGGGCTGCAKAATGAGTTTTACTGATGGATGAAAAATAAAAACAACAAAATAATAATAACTAAAATCAGCAGTTTCAATAGGGTTCCATGCTCTGTTGGATTTCTTTTTATTCAAAATTCAGTGTGTTCAATAGTTAGGAGCTCTTATATTAACCTTCAGAAATCTATGAAAGATGCTGGAGATTTTTCATTTCTCTTCCTCTCAAACAGCAGGAATAAACCTGATTCATCATGTTTGTGTTAAATAAACATCATTTCAAATTYGAGAAGCTTGTGCTCTGCTCTAAAGTGTTATGATTAAGAGCAAAAAATAAAGGTTTCTTTGCTCTCGTCTTTAAAAGGYTTGTGTTTTAAACACCCTCTTTTTGGTTTATTGACCTATTTGTTTTAAATTTAAATCTAAGTGATTATTCTGTGTTTATAGCAGATAATCTCTGTCAGTGTAACAACTTCAGTAAGCCTGCATGACGAACGACAAACTGGGTCACAGGACAAATACCTTTCTGTAACTCGGCTAAATAAATGTTTCATGACTTTTACAGTTTTCACTAGTTTTGTTTGAGACAAATCTTAACACAAAAAGCTTTGATCTGTTTGGAAGAAAGTCAAAACCTTAATCTGTTTAACAGAACTTTTTTTATAGGCGTGTGTGTTTAAAATTGTTTAAAACTGTTAATTGWATGTGCTTATATCTGTTATTTTGATTGTTTGTTTTCTCAATTGGATGTTTTTAATTTTACCTCCCTTGAAAAAGTTTTTTTTAACTTTTGTGGTATACTTCCTGCTTCAATAAAGATGAAATAAAGGTTTTAAAAATAATTTCATAAAGTACATAATAAATAAAGTCTCATTAAATGGCTTGTCTCCATTGGGGTGGGAAACAAGCTACTTTATAATCTCTGAAAATCATTAATAAATATAAAGAGAGATAAAAAATAAACATAAAAATCCACAAATATTACATGTAACTCTAAAGAGTGGTTAAGAACAATAACTTGAGAAAAACTCTGGTCTTCCTGCTGCCATCGATCACATTTGTCAGTCAGTTGAAAACTGCAGTCTACATCTTTGAGAATATTGAAAACATTTTAATGTTTATAGATAGAGGACAAAATAGACAGTTTGTTTAAGAGAGTTTTGCAGAATAAAATCCATTTTTGGTTCCTGTTCAYGACTGAAGATCTAGTTTGGTTAGTCTTCCTTTTAGTTAGATTATATTGGGTAATCTTCTTTGTATTATCCTTCAGATTATAACTTCCACGTGATGAGTAATAATTTATGGGGACTCTGCACTGTCATGCAGAAGTGTAGGACTGGTGGGGGGAGTACTGCAAGGAGGGGTGCTTCAAAGTCCTGGAATGAAAAGGTAAAACAGTTTAAAAAGCAGAGACGTGGAACTTTTTTTTCCTGTCCTACTGGTCATGTGGTGACCCAGATGAACCCCACAGACCTGCAGGCTGAAATGTGCTGAGTCAGCGAAGGCATCAGGCAGATGTGTTTGGAGCTTTTGCCTCCTTCAATTTAGTTCAGGATCAGCAGTGATGAGCTTACATCCAATCCTGATTCACCAGAATCAGAAGCAACCAGATGTTGCTGGACTCAGATTAATCTGCTGCCAACCATCCTGCTGCCAAACACGTAATGTAGGTTATTTGACACAACCCAGCTCCGCTCCAGACTGTCTGACCTGCGGTGCTCAGACTCTGTGCATTCATGGATCCACTGTTTGCAACCTAAAGGTTTGGTGCTGCAGGTTAATTATTAAACTTTGACTAGAAAAATGTAGCATTAAATCTGAACAAGCTTCAGGYGAGATGTCTCGGTACAAATTCATTAACAGAACAGAAGCATCATTGATGTCAGGTTATTGATAATGCTTTTATGGTTTTCAGGCATTTGATGGYTGAGTTTTAAGGTTTGATGCTCCTTTATGTCAATACAGTATCTGTCATGCAACAACACATGTATCTGTWTAAAACTGTTCAATACAGTGCTCTAGGTTCAATAMACTATGTATCAAACAATACAGACTYTTAACATTTATTTTATCAGCYTGTCTTCTGAATATGTGTTGAAGGCTCAGAGGATCTGTGTTCGACTACTCTGCCTAGCAACATTTCATTTAAATACTGTTCTTTTGAGGTTAATCAAATATTCATAATTAAGTTAAATAAATTACGAGTTAAGAAAGGCATGGAAATTTGTCTTATTTGTACTGAAAAATTATTGAAGCGTGACATTTAAGTAACAAACTTAACCGAATTGGGAATTGTCTGTATCGTTGCACTTCTGATAAATTTATAATCACAAGACTTGTTGAAATGAACAAAGGACACTTTTCAACACATTCACTGTGAAGCTGTYAATTTTCAAAATCTACTTGTTATCTCTTGGCTTTTAAAGAGACTTTAGTGCAACCTGCCTTGTGCACAGGTCAGATGAACAAGTCAGTTAAATAACAGTTAAAAATGTCAGGCCTTTTCAACTGGCGTTCATTCATCTCTTCAGCCCAAACCCCCAGTTTCTACTTTAATTACTCTAAGTTCATTTAGTTAAACATAGACATGTATGGAATCTACAGAARCRTCAGAATCTTGGCTAGAAGCTGATAAAAACCATCTTTATACACACTTAAGACAGTTAAAACTACAAGCAGTTGAAGATAAAACTATGAAAGCGAAAATAAAATTGATTTAAAAATTTGGCAAGTCAGAGATGTCACAATCATATTTGTGTTAAATAGGAGGCATAATGGGTTATTTTTGATTTTTGTTTTATTATCACTACTTCTGTTACATACATCATTCTGTGTGTTGAATTTATGATTAAATAAAAATTAAATAAACTGTTTCACAGGTAACAGATCTTTGTAATCCTTGCTTTATTTACATAATGACTTTAATTGCTGGATATTTGGCCCCTGAGCTGTTGGCCTGCACTAACTGTGGCCCCAAGACAAGTTTAGTTGATTAGCCCTTGTTTATGTTCTTACAATAGACTTTGTGACTGACAGACGCAGACTTCAAGGCTCAAACAAGCAGCTCTGACTCTGACATATATCACACATTCTTAGTTATTATATTCAAATKAACCAGTTTGAGGTTCTGTCAGTTTTGGGAAAGCCAAAAAAAATGATAAAGGGCTACATCAGGCTTGGGGCCCCTTGAAAAACTTGTGCTGCTGGTTTCCAGTGTTTGTTGTGATGGTCGTACTTGGWAGGCTCTGTGTTTTCTGGGGTCTTGTTTGAGAAATGTCGTCCTAAAATTTTAACTAGAGAGATTTTAGTTTGGCTTTCTTTATGGCATGCACACAAAACTTTACAAAATGTCTACTTTRCATGTGCCTGAAATCTTTAAACAGAGTAAAAAGATCGAAACATGGACAAGTTAATTAGAAATAAAAGCAGTGATACTCAACTAAGTTGCTCCGAGAGCCAGTTACTCAATAATACCAACAGCTCAGGGGCCAGACACATGAGGTGGGGTTGTCTGATAATGGTAGGAGAAACACTGTTATGTAAAAGAACAAGTATTGTCTTTCACCCTGTAAATTTGCTTACTTTATTGCATTAAATTATAGATTTAAAATGCACCATTGATTAAAAGTTTATTTTTATGTTAAGTAAAAAAAAACTGGTGGATCAGACAGATGGATGCAGCCAGATGTGGCCCGCAGACCAGCAGTTGAATGGCCCTGCATTAAAAAWAGAAATGCATCAGTGCTCTGCTCTGTTTTTGCATCACTTTGTGTTGTGTTTTGACGCTGACCCGCTCCTCTTTTCCTCAGATATGTTGCTGCTGTGGACCGGCCCCCTGCTCGCTCTGCTGTGCCTTCTGCCCCCCGGTCAAATCGTCCACCAGCACACGGGTCATGTACACCCTCTTCCACATCATGAGCTGTGCCGTCTCCTGCCTCATGCTGTCCCGCACCGTCTCTGAGCTCGTCAGGGAAAATGTGAGCAATTTAGACAGATCAACCATGACCAAACAGTGGGCAATCATGTTTTTACCTGACTGTGGGTTTGTTTGTTTTTAGCAAAATATCTCTTGAATCAGTGGATACATCTGAATAACAATCTCAGAAAGTACAAGTGATAAACATTTGACATCAACTCACTTCAACAGCTAATCAGCTTTAGCTAACACACGACTTTCACTCAATCAGTTTAACAAATATTGAGCYACACTTGTGATGTAGTAGAAACTCTGCTCATTCACAACATGTACTTAAGACCAGAGTGGTCATGGTTAACATGTTAATGTCTCCTGTCATCCTGTATAGAAACACTGTTGATTCACTCAGTGATATAAGGGGCTGTAGTGCAGCTGGTTTTCAGTCATGGTGTTGAGTTTATCTTTTAATTATATTAAGACTGCAAGATATATTTTATATTTAAGCTCACATGTAGATTTGAACACTTTATAAGACCACAAATACTGGTATTTTATCAATTTATGAAATGTCCCATGAGCCTTTACTGCACAAGCATACATAAACTTTCTAAAGTGCACAGGCTAAAAAAACCAAAAAAAAAAAAAGTAAGCATTATTTCATATATGCATTTGGCTCACAGGCCTCTGATAAACTTGTAATCTGGTTCTCTTGGAGGAAACAGTTTTGGCACTCCTGCTTTAGATGATAACAATGTGTGCATAATATTCTAGTGTTTTCASAGTTCGATGGCTGATTTCATTCCTTTTTCATCCAAAGACAATTTTAGTCTGAACTCTAGCATGAAAGGTGATGAGTAATGTGCATGCTCAACTTTTAATTATTACTGTTGAGATAAGAATCACCTTGTTGGAACTAAAATTCTTTTTCACACTGTGTTCTGTTTGGGATTATTCATAGGTTTAAAGGTAATTTTTTTTATACCAACTACAAAATAAAACATGTAACAGCAAATTAAAAATGTCTGCCTTATCAAACCCAAATGGCTCTTTTATGAACTTCTTTTTTGTTTCTGTTCTGATATATTTTCAGTCACTTTGGATTCTTTCAAGAGTAAAAAATGCATGTAGTAGACAGTGACCTGTCACAGATCTTGCATTCAGTTTTTTTTTTAATTTAAAACTCACCAATCATCAATATGAGGAAAAAATTGGGACTTTCTAAAAAAAAAACAGGCTGCTGCTAGCAAAGAAAATGGCACAAGAAGTAAAAATTACTATGTAAAAAAGAAGAGCCAAAAACAGAGAAAAACATTTATCTGTGTGTGAATGTGTGTGTGCACAGGTAAATGAAGTGTAAAGCGCCTTGGTGTCCAAGTGAACTTGATAAGGTGCTATATATGTTCAAGCCATTTACCATTTAGGGAAATATTTTATACAGTAAAGCACCTGAAAATAGTTTTCATTTCAAAGAGATGATAAAACAGAAACTAAAAGTTTTGAGGACATGAAAGGAGCTTAGTTCTTTTTTTGTTTCTGTTCTGACTTCCTGTCGCTAGAGGGCGCTGCTGAGACAGTGCAGGACAGAAGAGACAGGAGTGAGGAGAGATGCAGATACAGGAGATAGGGGACATTTTTTTTCTTAATGTCTGCATTTTTCTTCCTCAGAGTTTTGACAGGAATGTTGACACYGTGGTAAATCAGTATGGGTGTGTGTTTCAGGTGCCTTTCTTCAACATGGTGTGTGATCAGGCCCATGGCGGGGGCCACTGTGAGATGCTGGTGGGCTACTCGGCAGTCTACAGAGTCTGCTTTGGCACTTCCTGTTTCTACTTGATGATGGCAATTTTCCTCATCGACGTCAAATCCAGTCAGGACTTCAGAGCGCTCATACACAATGGGTCAGTCACATTTAGATTTAACACCAGCAGGCTGAGGTTTCACTGTCACTTGGTTTTTTTTTTTTAAGTTTATTTCCTCAGAAAAATAAATGTTGCTTATTTATGTTAGACAAAACACTTCATGTAAAGATATTATTTTCAAATTCAACCTGAAAACCTGAGAAAATATGAAA